TCAATGAAGTCGCCCCGGAGCGCCAATTAATTTTTATTGTTTTATAATTTCATGATTTGTAATATATTCTTTGATAGTCAAACTTCATTTGATATATTGTGAAAATGAAGTGGCAATCAAAGGAACTCGAATTTACATTGATTATGTCAAAAAATTCACCTATGTTGAAATCATAATAGTCATTCTTTAATGATGAAAGTATATTAACAAATACCGCGGAGATCACTAACTTCAGCATTCTTCAATAAACTTTTACAAATTCCTGAGTGAAATCTTCGGACACTTAACATTTTATCTATGTAATTAATCCTCCGCTAAACGTAATTTGAATCGTTTCAAGAATATTAAATCTAAGTAAATAGTCCATCATCGCGGATTAATTGGATGCAAACAAACTGACTTGTTATAGTAAATAAACTAATAAACGATAACGTGTACAAATCAAGTGCTATAATTTAATCTACTTTTTTGATCCCGGATCACAATAAAATGAATGAAGGCACGAATGTTGCTTATTCATAAGAGGGTTTGAAAATATTCAATAAGAGATCATCTAAAGACTCCATTACTCAAATATGATTTGTGAGTTGTGACATTTGCCAACGAATTCTGAAGTATTTTTCTTAATTTTTATTGTACTTCTGAGTGATTTTTTTTACTGGTATCTTTTTGGCAATAGTATTTTTGACAGATCACGCGTGAATCGTGTCTTGTGTCATTGTCAAACTTGTTCAATTTGGTCTATAATTTAACCATGAATCGACTAACGAATGAACGCTTGCAAATTATTGAATTTCATTATCAAAATTCATGCTCGGTGAATAAAGTGCATCGTGCACTTCTTCCAATTTATGAGCTGGTTCGTCGGCCTACTGAGAGACCTATTAGAAAGCTTGTGAGTAAATTTCGAACCAAGTTTACATTATTGGACATTAAACCACCAACACGCATACGTAGAGTGAGGACCGAAGAAAATATTGCGGCTGTATCCGCCAGTGTTCATGATGACCGTGAAATGTTGATTCGCCGCCGTTCGCATCAATCGGGCCTCTGTTACTCCACTACGTGGAAAATTTTGCGAAAGGATGTGGGTGTAAAACCTTATAAGATACAGCTGGTGCAGATTGACGATTGAAATGTAGTCCAGTGAAATATCAGTTGTAGCTTCTTCAAAATCATAAATATCTATTGTACCTTATCCAACAGTGGAACAAGACTTGTCGTGAACCTTCTCCTGTTCTTTTACGAAACGCCTATCAATCACCCTGAAGCCCACCTCTATACCCATCACGGGTGTCTTCAACACATTAGTCTAGCAGTAGACTAAGGTGTTGAAGACACCATCCTGGCAAGCCATCTTAAGCAAATGAACTTTAAACGTTCGAGCCAGTCTCGATATACCTACACAGTAGGTTTAATGGACTGACGCATATCAGAAAACACCTACTCCCCTGGCTGATACCACGAAGAGCGTTGGATTATATCTGACAGGCGTCGGTGCAGGAATCTTCACAAAAAATTTCCTGCATATGCAATTGGCAATACAACTGAAAGAGTCGACCTTCAATTTTGGAACGGGCACACTTGCAGACCGGTTTCGGGCTCATTAGCCACTCGTCAATGCAAGGTAGTGACCATCATCGACCTAAAGTCAATGATATTCCATAATTGAAAATCGGAATTATTTCAGAGTATTTCATTCCTCGAAGTTGGAGCGAACATCACAAAATGTCACTTCATCTAGTGGACGAGGTACTTATTCAACTGCAAATCCGTAATTTATCCGATTCCTCTGAATAAGGAAAAAAACTTTCTTATTAGTCAGTGTGCTATGCTTGAAGACTGGCAATAAACAAATGTAAAGCAAATGATGAAGCAAGCCATGATGAACCCTCCAGTTTCCGACCTCAGCCCACTCGACCTGGGGAAAGCGAAAGTCAGGCGCTTTGATAAGCCAAGGTCTCCAATGTTATTGAAGAAGACCCCATGCATTGGCTTATCATTGTGTTTCCGCAGAAGTGAGGTGATCTCTGAGCTTTTATATGAGATTTTTATTGAACGAGTTCCAACTCGGTGACAGAGTTGTGGTCACCTCGTTCAGGGTCGAAAACTAAACCGAGTTCTTCAGCTGCTCGGGTAGCTGCCCTAAAGAGAAATGCTCCCATTCCTGCTTTCTCATGGTCACGGACCATGCAGAGAAGAGGATCCGAGCTCCTGACGACTCTACAGGCTATATCCAGTACTATTCTGTCATGTAGACACTCCAAACTCAAAAATCCACGGCTTCCCTGTTGTCGGGAGAAGTACAAGCGTGGAACGGACGATTTGGGATGCAAACTCCTATAGAGATGCATCATTTTTCGGGTCTTTACGTCGAGTTGATACAGCTCCTCCCGAGTCCACTTCACTACTCCAAACGAGTAAAGTAGGTTTGGAACGGCAAGCATATTTGTTTCATTATTCTTTTGGAAGATGAACTTTGACATCTAAAATTTAGTAATTCAACACCATATTCATATGTAAATCAAGATCGTTTTCTGTTCATTTGCAGTTGCTGATGAAAATGACTTGTGGCTGAGAGACCTCATCGACTAGATGGAAATAAGAACGAATGCTCCAAAAGCGTCATGGCTTCCTCAGACGCTCTTTGCATTTGTTTTTCTGGTAGATTCTCTGGAACCTTCTCTGCTGATAACGAGACACAACAGTGGGGATATCTTTGCTCAGGTACCAGGTGAGTGAATAGAAATAATTGTTCCACAGGTGGATTAATATCGTCTCCCGTACCAGTAGGCTCTGATATCCCTAGTTGAGGACTATGAGTTCCGTGTTTTCAAACAGAATCCTGTGGTTTCCTTCAATGAGTGCGTGTCCTGCCACAGCTGACTTGTCCGTGTGGCCTAGCCTGAAGTTTTCCTTGCTCCTTTGGCCTTGTTCCCATGAATCTTTTGGTGTTTCCTATGTATAACTTTCCACAAGTGCACGGTATACGATAAACCTCTGCTACTGACCAAAACCATGAAACTAAAGAGTTCTGGGTACAAAACAGAGAGAAGGCTCATATGGTTGCACATGCGTACCTATCATATATATCTAGGGTCACAGACAACATTAGAAAACTCTAAAGGAAACATAACATTAGAACGGTGCTCAAACCCACCAAGAAGATACAACAGAGCCTCAGGTCGGCTGAAGACAAAAGATACCCACTATCAGCAGCAGGGGTATACCGCATATGCACTTGTGGAAAGGTATACACCGGAACCACCAAAAGATTCATGGAAACAAAGACGAAGGATCGTAACAGAAACTGCAGACGGAACTCTCAAACGCCAAAAAAACCAATACATAGAAATGAACTGGTTGCGAAATAGTCCACGTCGACTGAAGAATTGGCGTTTCGTATAATTTTTACTAACCGAGTTTTATGATTGGCTGAAGGGTCATAAAATTAAATTTGAAGTCATGTTTCGGTGTCGAATAGAAATCGGAGAATGCGGCCTTTGTTATCGTCGTCGTGTTCAGTTCAGGAACTAATCGCGATTTGAGTGTTGAAATTATATATTGGTGCAGGTATAATTACTTGAAACTTTTGTTATCTACTTAAAATGTGGCGTCCTTGGACGACTACTAATAGTAATAACGAGTGTGATAAAAACACAGACTTTTTCCAGTGTAGTGATTCCAATAGCGATGGTGAACAATGCGAAAAAGACATAACAATGAATAATATTCTGATGCATTCAAATATTGAAACACAGACAGTATGTTTCAATGTATATAATAATCTAAATCTCAAGTTTGGTTTCGAGGAAAACAAACTATTACAAGCAATATCAGATTTGACCGAAATTCCTTTCTCAACTGTACGTAAAATAGTCAAAAACAAACCTTATGAACGCAAGGCGCGATGTGATACGGGATTACCAAAACCTTTAGGTGTTCATCTAACAAAATCATTGAAAAATACAATAACGACTGTTACAGAAGCAATGAGATTCCTACAACTGAAATCATAAGGAGGAAAGTGAATACTTCCGGTCATAACGTGAGCTGCTGTGACAAAACTCTTCAGAATTGGATAAAGAAACTAGGACTCAGATTTAAAATAATAAACAACCGTCAAGCAGAAAAAAAGAGGAATTGCGTAACAAATACTTAGAACAAATAACTAAATATAGACAAGAACAACGGCAAATTTTCTATTTGGACGAAACTTGGTATGAAACTCACGACACAGTAACGGAAGGGTGGACTTATGGTTCGAGAATATTAAGCCTAACATGCCTGCAAACGAAGGATTGTGACTAATGAGACTTCCTCCCTACTTTTGTGTTTTCAATCCCATCGAGTTGATTTGGGGAAAATTGAAACGAAGCATCAGGCGTAAAAATAATTTTCCAAAATTTGATAAGACGGCAATAGAGCTAGTTAAAGAAGGAGTATCTAATATTACCGAAAAGGACTGGCAGAAAAGGATTAAAAGAGTAATTTCAGTTGAAAAAGACTTTATGGAGATTGGACGCTTCCATATTAATGGTGGAAATAAATTCATTGTTGATTTAAATGACGACAGTGATAGTGAAACAGAGAATATGGAAGAGGAATTATCAGAAGCTTTCGAAGAAAGTTAGTGAAGTGTTTTTGAAGCGATCGATTGTAATGATTATTGAATAACGAAATTAGTTAGCTACCTAACTATACTATTGAAGGGGAGCTCTTGGAAGGTAGGTTTGCACTGTATCGTTTACATGAACTATACCATAACTGACTAGTACAGGAAGCAATAGAGATCCATAAATACATGATGGTTATCTCAAGATGTATGAATCCGATTTTATGAATATTCGAGAATTTGAGTTATTTATAGTGAGCTGATTTTAATTAATCTTTATTTGTTTTTTGCTGGAATGGAAATGTTGCTATAGTGCATTACAATGTAAATGTGATGGGTTCAGCACTAATTACATCCAAAATCACCTTTCATCGAATCGATAATAGTTTCTTCTGCAATTAAGGGGCCGGTGAAAAGGCTATTAAATATCTCGTGTAGGCGTTTCATTTGTTATTTGAATACGTCAATAAACATTCCGCGATGAAAAGAATACGAAGTGAATCCTTTTATTATGCGGTAACGATCATTACCGTTTACGGCTGTAAATGCTGGATAATTCTAAAAGTACACACTACAATAATAATATTTTCGATAAACCAGAAGGTGTGATCTTCGATGATGAATAACGGTTTCGCAGCTTCAAATGCACTGAAGGTCGAGGTAGAATCGCTCTTTGCTGAATAAAAGCAAAGAATTTTCTGTGGAATGGCTTATGCGTGTTTGAATTGTTTCCGGAAGGCAAAACTGACAGTTATGCCCACTTGTAAAAATGGTCCGGGTAATATTCACTTGGCGGACAGCTGCTTGCTTCAGAAGTTGTTTCTAATACAATGCGACTTATCTCGTAGTACATCGAGAAAAAATAATGAGATCCGTTGAAGATACAAATGTAGCATAACGTTTCCTTTAAATTTTATATGCCACGATGGATACAGCCAACTCTAGCATGCGGAGGCAAGAGCGTGGATCTTTAGGACAAAAGCTGTTTGGCCTTTAGGAAGTTCAAATGGGTGGTATCTAAAAGAATAATATATAGAGATGTTTGAAGGTGATTGACAATGTTTTGTGATGAATTTCACTAGTTCGGACTTCCATTGTCTACTATATAAAATGATTTGAAATCCCTGAAACAAGTAAAAAAGAATAATTAAAAAA